TGATTAATTCATCGATTAGTTCATTAACTACTTTCTGGACTAGTCTATTGTTGCGTTTACATACTAGGCTATGCACTAGTCTTTTGGCTAGTCTATGGGCAAGTGCCTATATTAGTTTATGGGCTAGTGCCTTGACTAGTTTATGAGCTTGTCTTTTGTCTATTCTCTGGAATAGTTGAGTGTCTTTCGGTAGTCTATTGACTAATCTATGAACTGTTCTATTGATTAGTCTGAGGGCTAGTCCTTTGAATAGTTTATGCGCTAAGCTTTTGCTTAGTCTCTGGCTAGTCTATGGGCTAGTGCCTAGACTAGTTTATGGGCTAGTGCCTTGACTAGTTTATGAGCTTGACTTTTATCTATTCTCTGGAATAGTTTATTGGCATTCAGTACTCTATTGTCTGATCTATCAGCTGTTCTATTGATTAGTCTATGGACTGGTCTATTGACTAGTCTATCCATAAGTTTAGTATTTGAAATAGTCTCTGGAATAGTGTAGTCTTTGAACTTGTGTTTTGACTATTCTCTATTTCAAGTTTTCCTTACCGCCAGTTACACTGATAACATTTCTTAATTATACGCACACGTATGACATGTATCTGCAAGTATGTTCATTTAAATACACTTCATTAGACAAATAGCTAAAATATGTTCTTTTTTTCCTTTTTAAAGAAAATCACAAATCCGCATGATTGGATGCTATTTCATTGTTTTGTTGATTTCAATGTTTTTTTTTTGTTTTGGTAACAAAAACGCTTACATACACTAACTAAATACCAGCAACCTGCAAGAAAAAAGGGAGTTAAGCTTTTAAACAAAATAGAAAATAACAAAGGAAATACTATAGTATTTAAATTGGATTTTATATTTGATGTTTAATTTTGTCTTTCGTTTGCTGCTGCAGCAGTTTGGTTCTATTGATATTAATATTACAGTCAGGTGTTTGTTTGATAAATTTAAAAATTGCTTACAAATACTAATTTACATTTAACTGTTATATTTATGTAGAATTAAAAAGAAAAGACAATTTCCCCATATACATACATAAGTATGTATGAGTATTTATTTTCTTAAAAGGATACATATATATTAGTAAGCTTCATTAGAGACATGTGTAAAGTATACAAACTCTTGTATAGACATGTGTACGTATGTATGTATATGAAAGATTTAGGGGATTTTCGTTAAAAACTTAAGATTAAAATATAATTAAATATTCTGCATCAAATCACAAATCAAATTGAATGCTAGTAAATATACAAACTTGATGACTAGAAGACTTTCTCCAACAAAAAAGTTTGCAATATAAAATTTCTATATTAGGGGTTTTTTTCAGTGAAATTTTAAATGTGAAATTAGTAAATGTCGATAAACTGTATTATATTGTCAAGGAAGTGTTTAGTATTCATTCGATATCATATTATTATGGAAATTTACCTTGATTAAATGTTTTAGTATTTATAATAATTTAAGGACATTTTGTATGAAAAGATTATGAAGAGTTTTTTATCGTTTTGTTCTTAATTCATGATTAATACCTAAGCAATGCTAACCAGCGTAGAAATGCATTTAATGCCTCATTTAGAGTAGTTTTTTTCTTATATTTTTTTGTTTTAAATATTTGGTTTGATTAACAAACATAAAGAGAAAATAATATGATTTATTAGAAAAAAAATTGAGTAATTTGTGGCAAATTTTTGCTGAATATAATGTTCAATAAATTATAAGTAATAACCATAATATCGTATCAAAAAGGAAAGCTTAAATTTTATATAATCAGAGGCATGTGATTTTAATTCTTGTGATAATACTTTATATAGGAAAAAAAGCTCAAAAATTTCATTAAAAATTTTGCAAAAAAAATCCTAAAATTTAAAATTATGAAAAAATAAAATTCTGTTTTAGACCCACGTGGACTAACAGCTGTAGATTTTTTTAAAACCAAGCTTTTTTATAAAATTTTTTCTATTTCCCTATATTAATTAAGTCGAATTAATTTTATTCTATAATAATACAATTTTACTTCCAAATAACTTCCAAAGAAAGAACTTAAAAATTACTTCTGGAGAATAACTTCAGAAGAAGTGAATTTGGAATCAAATAAAAGGATGTCCCTTTCAGAACAGGATGTCTTATGACAAACCTGTTCTGAAGGTCTTTTTCAGTACTAGCATAGAGTGAAATCTAGTTATTTTTCGCTTCTTAAGGATTTTTTTTTGCTGTGAATAATTGCAAAAACGTAACAAATTTAAATTTAGTTAGTTAGTTAGTTAGTTAGTTAGTTAGTTAGTTAGTTAGTTAGTTAGTTAGTTAGTTAGTTAGTTAGTTAGTTAGTTAGTTAGTTAGTTAGTTTTAGTTAGTTTGTTAGTTAGTTTTAGTTAGTTAGTTAGTTAGTTAGTTAGTTAGTTAGTTAGTTAGTTAGTTAGTTAGTTAGTGTTAGTTAGTTAGTTATTCGTTAGTTAGTAGTTAGTTAGTTAGTTAGTTAGTTAGTTAGTAGTTAGTAGTAGTTAGTTAGTTAGTTAGTAGTTAGTAGTTAGTTAGTATTAGTTAGTTAGTTAGTTAGTAGTTAGTTAGTTAGTTAGTTAGTTAGTAGTTAGTTAGTTAGTTAGTTAGTTAGTTAGTTAGTTAGTTAGTTAGTTAGTTAGTTAGGTAGTTAGTTAGTTAGTTAGTTAGTTAGTTAGTTAGTTAGTTAGTTAGTAGTTAGTTAGTTAGTTAGTTAGTTAGTAGTTAGTTAGTTAGTAGTTAGTAGTTAGTTAGTTAGTTAGTTAGTTGTAGTTAGTTAGTTAGTTAGTTAGTTAGTTAGTTAGTTAGTAGTTAGTTAGTTAGTTAGTTAGTTAGTTAGTAGTAGTTAGTTAGTTAGTTAGGTAGTTAGTTAGTTAGTTAGTAGTAGTTAGTTAGTTAGTTAGTTAGTTAGTTAGTTAGTTAGTAGTTAGTTAGTTAGTTAGTTAGTTAGTTAGTTAGTAGTTAGTTAGTTAGTTAGTTAGTAGTTAGTAGTTAGTTAGTAGTAGTTAGTTAGTTAGTGTAGTTAGTTAGTTAGTTAGTTAGTTAGTTAGTTAGTTAGTTAGTTAGTTAGTTAGTTTAGTTAGTAGTAGTTGTTAGTTAGTTAGTTAGTTAGTAGTAGGTAGTTAGTTAGTAGTTAGTTAGTTAGTGTTAGTTAGTTAGTTAGTTAGTAGTTAGTTAGTAGTTGTTAGTTAGTTAGTTAGTTAGTTAGTTAGTTAGTTAGTTAGTTAGTTAGTTAGTTAGTTAGTTAGTTAGTTAGTTAGTAGTTAGTTAGTTAGTTAGTAGTAGTTAGTTAGTTAGTAGTAGTTAGTAGTTAGTAGTTAGTTAGTTAGTAGTTAGTTAGTAGTTAGTTAGTTAGTAGTTAGTAGTTAGTTAGTTAGTTAGTAGTTAGTAGTTAGTTAGTTAGTTAGTTAGTTAGTTAGTAGTTAGTTAGTTAGTTAGTTAGTAGTTAGTTAGTTAGTTAGTTAGTTAGTGTTAGTTAGTAGTAGTAGTTAGTTAGTAGTTAGTTAGTAGTTAGTAGTTAGTTAGTTAGTTAGTTAGTTAGTTAGTAGTTAGTTAGTTAGTTAGTTAGTTAGTAGTTAGTAGTAGTTAGTTAGTTAGTTAGTTAGTTAGTAGTTAGTTAGTTAGTTAGTTAGTTAGTTAGTTAGTTAGTAGTAGTAGTTAGTTAGTTCGGAGTTAGTTTCGTTTCGTTCGTTAGTATTGTTCGTTATTGTTAGTTCGTTTCGTTGTTCGTTCGTTTCGTTAGTTGTTTTTTGTCGTTCGTTAGTTCGTTAGTTGTTAGTTCGTTAGTTTCGTTTTCGTTCGTTCGTTTCGTGTTAGTTCGTTGTTAGTATTTCGTTCGTTTAGTTATTCGTTCGTTCGTTCGTTTTGTTAGTTCGTTAGTTAGTAGTTAGTTAGTTAGTTAGTTAGTTTGTTAGTTTACGTCGGTCGGTTGGTTGGTTGTTTGATTAGTTTCATGATTGGATCGTTGCTTGGGTTGGTTTAGTTAGTTAGTAGTTCTTTACTTCGTCGTTGATTAGTTTGTTCTGTTGGGTTGTTACGTAGGTTGGTTAGTTGATTGCTTTGCTCGTTAGTTGGTTGCTTTGTTGGTTAGTTGGCTAGTTGTCTATTTGGTTTGTTCGTTAGTTGGCTATTTGTTGGTTATTTGGTTGGTTTGTTGATTAGTTAAAAGAAAAATGTATGAAAATACTGGGACCAACTACGTGGGAACAAATTCTACATCAATTGGAAAATATTTCGTTGACCTGCTTTTCTTTTTAAAGTATTTTGAATATTCAATTTATATTTCAAAATAAAACAATATTAATATTATTTTTATTAAAAATAATGCCATTCGTAAATGGTTTTAGCAAAATTTATTTAGTCTCTTTATTTATAAAATTAATCAACAACCACTCTCACTGTCAATTTAATATTAATTTATTTATTTTGCCTTATTTTTTTTGTATACTTTATGGAATTTTTCAGAGATGATTAGTTTCAATGCTAATGATGGCACTAAGGCGATTTGTGGCTAACAGTGTTGCCATAAGTGAAATAAACAAAATTTTAAACAATCATTAATTAGTGCATTTATACATAAATATCTCAAGTTCATTTGGCAAAGCTTATACAGAAAAATTAAAAATTTTTTGTTTATAATTTTAATAAATTCAAAAACAACACCAATGGCAACTCTAATAACTATACTAGCTTCATATATACAAATTAAAGCCGCAGCGGTGAAATGTAAAAAGATACCATCATAAATTAACTCAAGAAATTCTAGAGCGCTCATAAAATACTTGAAAAAGACAACATTTTAAAGTTGTCAAAAACACAAAGCACGATATTACTTTAAAATTGAAAAAAAAAACCCAAACAACTAGACCAAAAACTCCTGGCGTTTTTATTTAATAGAAATTTATAATATAAAACAAATTAAATTATGTATATTAATTTAATATTCAGTAAATAACAATATTAAACTGGAAATTTTCTTTTTCTCTCTTTTATAATTTTAGTAAAAAATGGAACAATTTGAACAATTGTTAACGTGTTGCGTTTGTTTGGATCGTTATCGCATACCAAAATTGCTGCCATGTCAACACTCCTTTTGTATGGAACCCTGTATGGAGGGTTTGGTGGATTATGTCAGACGACAGGTAAGTTCCTTTCTACATTTACAATAATTGTAATTACATTTTTATTTTTTTTTTTTTTTGGGGCGATTTGCGTGTTTCTAAGTAGCACTCAAAAAATAATATTGAATTTGGAATTGGTTTATTAGTTTAAAGTTTACTTACCCAATATTGCGTTAAAACTTTATGTATAAAATGAAAGAAAATTTTCTATAGAAAATGTGTTTAAGGCTAGTTTTTCTAAGAAAATTTTTTATTTTTAAGTTTGTCATTCTTTATAGAAAATTAATTGTAAAATTAAGAATTAACTTTCTAAATATAAAATGACATATAATAAACTAAAGATAACATTTAAGATACCACTTGTGAGTATGTTATAATTTTGCAAATGGCTTTTACAGGTGTTAACAAGACTACTTATACATGATCAATTCTATTTGATCTTTTATTGTGAACGCATCATCTATAGAAAATCTTTCCCTAATGGGAACACGTTTTCCATAGAAAATCTTTCTCTAATGGGAACTTATATTCAATAGCAAAACTTTCCCTAATGGGAACACATTATCTATAGAAAATCATTATCTAATGAGAAAACATTTTCTATAGAAAATCTTTCCCTAATAGGAACACATTTTCTATAGAAAATCTTTCCTAATGGCACACATTTTCTATAGAAAGTCTTTCTCTAATGGGATCTTATTTTCTATAGCAAATCTTTCCCTAATGGGAACACATTTTCTATAGGAAATCATTCCCTAAAGGGAACTCATTTTCTATAAAAATTCATTCCCTAATGGGAACACGTTTTCTATAGAAAATCTTTCCCTAATGGGAACACATTTTCTGCAGAAAATCTTTCCCTAATGGGAACACATTTTCTGTAGAAAATCTCTCCCCAATGGGAACACATTTTCTATAGAAAATCTTTCCCTAATGGGAACACATTTTCTGTAGAAAATCTTTCCCTAATGGGAACACATTTTCTATAGGAAATCTTTTCCTAATGGGAACACATTTTCTATAGAAAATCTTTCCCTAAAGGGAATACATTTTCTATAGAAAATCTTTCCCTAATGGGAATACATTTTCTATAGAAAATCTTTCCCTAATGGGAATACATTTTCTATAGAAAATCTTTCCCTAATGGGAATACATTTTCTATAGAAAATCTTTCCCTAATGGGAACACATTTTCCATAGAAAATCTCCCCCTAATGGGAACACATTTTCTATAGAAAATCTTTCACTAATAGGAACACATTTTCTGTAGCAAAATCTCTCCCTTAGGGGATCAAATTTTCTATAGAAAATCTTTCCCTAATGGGAACACATTTTCAATGGAAAATCTTCCTCTGATGGGAACACATTTTCTCCTAATTCTTCCCCTAATGGGAACTTATTTTCTATACCAAATCTTGCCCTAATGGTAACACATTTTCTCTAGGAAATCATTCCCTAATGGGAACACATTTTCTATTGAAAATCTTTCCCTGATGGGAACACATTTCTATAGAAAATATTTTCCTGATGGGAACACATTTTCTATAGAAAATCTTTCCCTGATGGGAACACATTTTGTATAGAAAATCTTTCCCTGATGGGAACACATTTTCTATAGAAAATCTTTCCCTGATGGGAACACATTTTCTATAGAAAATCTTTCCCTAGTGGGAACACATTTTCTATAGAAAATCTTTCCCTAGTGGGAACACATTTTCTATAGCAAATCTTTCCCTAGTGGGAACACATTTTCTATAGAAAATCTTTCCCTAATGGGAACACATTTTCTATAGAAAATCTTTCCCTAATGGGAACACATTTTCCATAGCAAAATCATTCCCTAACTAAAAAACTTGTTTCCCCTTTTTTTCTGGGTGTATGTTCATATGTTGTTTAAAACTTAGTTTTTTTTTTGAAAAGTAATTGTTTACATAATACCAATACCATTGAATAACAATTTAATCCAAAAGGGATTAATTGCTAATAAAACAAGTTATTTTACGAACAAATAACTATTTTTAGGAAATAATATTTTTGGTTATGAAAACAAATGTTGCTGTTTGATAAATTATACCAGTGAGAAAAGTTTTGTTTTCAATTTCAATGGAAATTTTTGTGCACAAAAACCACAAATTAAACAGATACATATGTGTATGAAAGGAGGGAGATCAGTTAAATTATTTAATTAAACTGATCATTTTGGTAAGAGTTATAAAAGTTGAAAATTTAAAGGAATTTGTTTGGAAGCTCCAAAACTAGGAACAAATTAGAAACAAATTGAAACTATTACAATTCTAATGGACTTTTTTTTCCATACTCTTACATAGTTGAGTCCATTTGTACACAAACAAATGTAGATATTTATATATACATATGTATGTATGTTTATGTATATAATCTCCATTGGCTTTTTTCATTATGTGGCTCTGTTTCTGTTTCATATTTGTTTAAATTTTATTTTCTTTTTGACAAAAAATATATGGCTACTTGTATGCGTATGTTTTTCTGGATATCGGCCAATAAAAATTATTTTTTTTTAATTATTTATTTCATATTTCTACAAAAATATCGGCAGTTTGTGTGGGTGTTTGATGTTGCATGCGGTATTAATGTATTAAATGTTCTTCTCTTGTGTACAACAACATTAGTATTCATAATATTTTTTTTTGTTCAAAAGACAACAAATACTGGGTTTATTATTATTATTTGTACAACTTTTAATTGGAATATTTTATGTTATAAGTAAATCCTTAAAAAAATGTTATCGTATGAATATATGGAACATCGTTAATTGCGTAAAACTTTAATAAATTATTATAGACTCATTACTGTAAATTTGACGAGAGAAATCTACATGTATGCATTTCATCGCATTACTCACTTCAACTCTAAAAAAGAGCTCCATATTATTAGAAGAGTTTGTCATTTATGAATGAAAATTAATTGTAAATTAATTAATTTCCTCAATACAAAATGACATAAAGTAATATGAAAAGATCATTTAAGATACCATTTGCTATAAGTTATAAATTTTACAAATGGCTTTTACAGATGTTCACAAAGAAACTATTTACATTTACTATAGAAAATCTCTCACAAAAGGGAAAACAGTCGCTAATGTCAACACATTTTCTAGAGAAAGTCTTTCACTAAAGTGAACATATTTTCTATAGAAAAACATTCACTAAAAGGAACGCATTTTCTGTACAAAATCTTTCATTAAAAAAAACGCATTTTCTATAGAAAATTGTTCACTAAAGGGAAAACATTTTCTATAGAAATTTGTTCACTAAAGGGAAAACATTTTCTATAGAAATTTGTTCACTAAAGGGAACACATTTTCAATAGAAAAATTTTCACTAAAGGAAAAACATTTTCTATAGGAAATTGTTCACTAAAGGGAACTTATTTTTGTAGAAAATTGTTCACTAAAGGGAACACATTTTCTATAGAAAATTGTTCACTTAAGGAAACACATTTTCTATAGAAAATTGTTCACTAAAGGGAACACATTTTCTATAGAAATTTTGTTCGCTAAAGGGAACATATTTTCTATAGAAAATTGTTCACTAAAGGCAACACATTTTCTATAGAAGATTGTTCACTAATGTGAACACATTTTCTATAAAGGGAACTCATTTTCTACAGAAAATTGTTCACTAAAGGGAACACATTTTCTAAAGAAAATTGTTCACTAAAGGGAACACATTTTCTATAGACAATTGTTCACTAAAGGGAACACATTTTCTATAGAAAATTGTTCACTAAAGGGAACACATTTTCTATATAAAATTGTTCACTAAAGGGAACACATTTTCTATTGAATATCTTTCATTAAAGGGAAGACATTTTCTATGGAAAATCTTTGTCTAAGCGAACACATTTTCTATAGAAAATTTTTCACTTAAAAGAACACATTTTCTAAAGAAAATCTTTCTCTAAAGTGAACACATTTTCTATAGAAAATCTTTCCCTTAGGGGAACACATTTTCTATAGAAAATCTTTCCCTTAGGGGAACACATTTTCTATAGAATATCTTTCCCTTAGGGGAACACATTTTCTATAGAAAATCTTTCCCTTAGGGGAACACATTTTCTATAGAAAATCTTTCCCTCAGGGGAACACATTTTCTATGGAACATCTTTCTCTTACGGGAATACATTTCCCATAAAAAATCCTTAACTCAAGTAAACATATTTCTATAGAAAATCTTTCTCTAAAGTGAACACATTTTCTATAGAAAATCTTTCCCTAATGAGAACACATTTTCTATAGAAAATCCTTCACTCAAGTGAGCACATTTTCTATAGAAAATCTTTCATTAAAGGGAACTCATTTTCTATAGAAAATCCTTCACTCAAATGAACACATTTTCTATAGAAAATCCTTCACTCAAGTGAACACATTTTCTATAGAAAATCTTTCACTCAAGTGAACACATTTTCTATAGACAATCTTTCACTAATGAGGACACACTTTCTATAGAAAATCTTTCCCTAATGAGAACACATTTTCTATAGAAAATCCTTCACTCAAGTGAACACATTTTCTATAGAAAATCTGTTATTAAAGGGAACACATTTTCTATGGAACATCTTTCTCTTACGGGAATACATTTCCCATAAAAAATCTTAACTCAAATAAACATATTTCTATAGAAAATCTTTCTCCAAAGTGAACACATTTTCTATAGAAAATCTTTCTCTAAAGTGAACACATTTTCTATAGAAAATCTTTCCCTAATGAGAACACATTTTCTATAGAAAATCCTTCACTCAAGTGAACACATTTTCTATAGAAAATCTTTCACTTAAGGGAACTCATTTTCTATTGAAAATCCTTCACTCAAATGAACACATTTTCTATAGAAAATCTTTCACTCAAGTGAACACATTTTCCATAGACAATCTTTCACTAATGAGAACACATTTTCTATAAAAAATCTTCACTCAAGTGAACACATTTTGTATAGAAAATCTATCGCTTAAGGGAACTCATTTTCTATAGAAAATCTTTCCCTAATGGGAACACATTTTCTATAGAAAATCTTTCCCTAATGGGAACACATTTTCTATAGAAAATCTTTCCCTAATGGGAACACATTTTCTATAGAAAATCTTTCCCTAATGGGAACACATTTTCTATAGAAAATCTTTCCCTAATGGGAACACATTTTCTATAGAAAATCTTTCCCTTAGGGGAACTCATTTCCTATAGAAAATCTTTCCCTTAGGGGAACACATTTTCTATAGAAAATCTTTCCCTTAGTGGAACACATTTTCTATAGAAAATCTTTCCCTTAGGGGAACACATTTTCTATAGAAAATCTTTCTCTTAGAGGAACACATTTTCTATAGAAAATCTTTCCCTTAGGGGAACACATTTTCTATAGAAAATCTTTCCCTTAGGGGAACACATTTTCTATAGAAAATCTTTCCCTTAGGGGAACACATTTTCTATAGAAAATCTTTCCCTTAGGGGAACACATTTTCTATAGAAAATCTTTCCCTTAGGGGAACACATTTTCTATAGAAAATCTTTCCCTTAGGGGAACACATTTTCTATAGAAAATCTTTCCCTTAGGGGAACACATTTTCTATAGAAAATCTTTCCCTTAGGGGAACACATTTTCTAAAGAAAATCTTTCCCTTAGGGGAACACATTTTCTATAGAAAATCTTTGCCTTAGGGGAACACATTTTCTATAGAAAATCTTTCCCTTAGGGGAACACATTTTCAATAGAAAATCTTTCCCTTAGGGGAACACATTTTCTATAGAAAATCTTTCCCTTAAGGGAACACATTTTCTATAGAAAATCTTTCCCTTAAGGGAACACATTTTCTATAGAAAATCTTTCCCTTAAGGGAACACATTTTCTATAGAAAATCTTTCCCTTAAGGGAACACATTTTCTATAGAAAATCTTTCCCTTAAGGGAACACATTTTCTATAGAAAATCTTTCCCTTAAGGGAACACATTTTCTATAGAAAATCTTTCCCTTAAGGGAACACATTTTCTATAGAAAATCTTTCCCTTAAGGGAACACATTTTCTATAGAAAATCTTTCCCTTAAGGGAACACATTTTCTATAGAAAATCTTTCCCTTAAGGGAACACATTTTCTATAGAAAATCTTTCCCTTAAGGGAACACATTTTCTATAGAAAATCTTTCCCTTAAGGGAACACATTTTCTATAGAAAATCTTTCCCTTAAGGGAACACATTTTCTATAGAAAATCTTTCCCTTAAGGGAACACATTTCTATAGAAAATCTTTCCCTTAAGGGAACACATTTTCTATAGAAAATCTTTCCCTTAAGGGAACACATTTTCTATAGAAAATCTTTCCCTTAAGGGAACACATTTTTCTATAGAAAATCTTTCCCTTAAGGGAACACATTTTCTATAGAAAATCTTTCCCTTAAGGGAACACCATTTTCTATAGAAAATCTTTCCCTTAAGGGAACACATTTTCTATAGAAAATCTTTCCCTTAAGGGAACACATTTTCTATAGAAAATCTTTCCCTTAAGGGAACACATTTTCTATAGAAAATCTTTCCCTTAAGGGAACACATTTTCTATAGAAAATCTTTCCCTTAAGGGAACACATTTTCTATAGAAAATCTTTCCCTTAAGGGAACACATTTTCTATAGAAAATCTTTCCTTAAGGGAACACATTTTCTATAGAAATCTTTCCCTTAAGGGAACACATTTTCTATAGAAAATCTTTCCCTTAAGGGAACTCATTTTCTATAGAAAATCTTTCCCTTAAGGGAACTCATTTTCTATAGAAAATCTTTCCCTTAAGGGAACTCATTTCTATAGAAAATCTTTCCTTAAGGGAACTACATTTTCTATAGAAAATCTTTCCTTAAGGGAACACATTTTCTATAGAAAATCTTTCCCTTAAGGGAACACATTTTCTATAGAAAATCTTTCCCTTAAGGGAACACATTTTCTATAGAAAATCTTTCCCTTAAGGGAACACATTTTCTATAGAAAATCTTTCCCTTAAGGGAACACATTTTCTATAGAAAATCTTTCCCTTAAGGGAACACATTTTCTATAGAAAATCTTTCCCTTAAGGGAACACATTTTCTATAGAAAATCTTTCCCTTAAGGGAACACATTTTCTATAGAAAATCTTTCCCTTAAGGGAACACATTTTCTATAGAAAATCTTTCCCTTAAGGGAACACATTTTCTATAGAAAATCTTTCCCTTAAGGGAACACATTTTCTATAGAAAATCTTTCCCTTAAGGGAACACATTTTCTATAGAAAATCTTTCCCTTAAGGGAACACATTTTTCCCTTAAGGGAACACATTTTCTATAGAAAATCTTTCCCTTAAGGGAACACATTTTCTATAGAAAATCTTTCCCTTAAGGGAACACATTTTCTATAGAAAATCTTTCCCTTAAGGGAACACATTTTCTATAGAAAATCTTTCCCTTAGGGAACACATTTTCTATAGAAAATCTTTCCCTTAGGGGAACACATTTTCTATAGAAAATCTTTCACTAAAGTGAACAAATTTTCTGTTCAAAAACTTTCTCTAATTTGAACAAATTTTCTATTAAAAAAACTTTCTCTAATAAGAACACTCTTCTTTCAAGGGTAATAATATTATTTATAAGTTTGTCATTCTTTATTGAAAATTAATTGTAGAAAAATTAATTAGTTTTCTAAATACAAAATGACATATAATAAACTAAAGATAACATTTAAGATACCAACCATTTGTAAGGAAATTATGATTTTACAAATGGTTTTTACTAGTGTTAACAAGGCAACATACACGAAATAATTATTTTATATAAATATGTGAAAATGGTTATTTTATTTAATAATTTGCTTTTTTGTGTAATCTTTTAGGTTAAATGTCCAGAATGTCGTGCCGAACATCGTATACCCTACAATGGCGTTCAGGCATTCCCCACCAATGTAACACTTCAACGTTTTCTCGAGTTACATATCGAGATAACGGGCGAATTACCAGATCCCACTTCCGGTAAGTTTAATAATAAGAAATGGAAAGAGTTTTATAGATTTTCAAGTATTTATATAGAAAAAAGTGTTCATATTTGTAAAAGATTCTTAATAGTTTCCTTTCCTTTCTCTTATTTTAATGAAAACTATGCTATGAGTCCGAAAAAATAGTTTTCAGCTTTACATAAAGTAGTTTTCTTATAGAAGTTTTAAATATAATTGATTAAAGACCCTTTAACGTAAATGTGTTGAAAAAACTTGTGTAAAATATTAAAAGCAAACATATAAATCAATCCAATCATTTAAACATTTTTTTTATTTTCTTTCTTAGAGGTGTATAAAAAATGAAAATTGTTAAAATCTATAAAGGAAGTTAAAAAGAGTAATACAAAATGTTCGTAATATTGCTTTTCGATATTTTCTTCTTCACATACATACACACATACTTTATATTGCAAATTGTTTACCATGATATGCCAACAATATCTACTCTTCTTTTACACAAATGCATTGAACAATTTTCAACAATGTTGTTGACGTATGATGAATGTATGTAGTTGTGTGAATGTATGAATTCCTACAATTCATTTACAATACATACAATGAATGTATTTGGGGAGAAAATGTACATTTGTATGAAATATTAAATGAAAAATATGAATGAATAGCAATTCATATTTTCTTTTTTTTTTTTGCATTTTTAAGTAGAAAATTTGTGTTTATTTCAAAAAAGTCGGGCACAAAATTTAGTTTACAGTTTAAGCGAAAAAATTTTAGAATTTTTTAGAATCGTGCAAATATGTTCCCCTAAGGGAAAGATTTTCTATAGAAAATGTGTTCCCCTAAGGGAAAGATTTTCTGTAGAAAATGTGTTCCCCTAAGGGAAAGATTTTCTATAGAAAATGTGTTCCCCTAAGGGAAAGATTTTCTATAGAAAATGTGTTCCCCTAAGGGAAAGATTTTCTATAGAAAATGTGTTCCCCTTAAGGAAAGATTTTCTATAGAAAATGTGTTCTCCTTAGGGAAAGATTTTCTATAGAAAATGTGTTCCCCTTAGGGAAAGATTTTCTATAGAAAATGTGTTCCCCTAAGGGAAAGATTTTCTGTAGAAAATGTGTTCCCCTAAGGGAAAGATTTTCTATAGAAAATGTGTTCCCCTAAGGGAAAGATTTTCTATAGAAAATGTGTTCCCCTAAGGGAAAGATTTTCTATAGAAAATGTGTTCCCCTAAAGGAAAGATTTTCTATAGAAAATGTGTTCCCCTAAGGGAAAGATTTTCTATAGAAAATGTGTTCCCCTAAGGGAAAGATTTTCTATAGAAAATGTGTTCCCCTAAGGGAAAGATTTTCTATAGAAAATGTGTTCCCCTAAGGGAAAGATTTTCTATAGAAAATGTGTTCCCCTAAGGGAAAGATTTTCTATAGAAAGTGTGTTCCCCTAAGGGAAAGATTTTCTATAGAAAATGTGTTCCCCTAAGGGAAAGATTTTCTATAGAAAATGTGTTCCCCTAAGGGAAAGATTTTCTATAGAAAATGTGTTCCCCTAAGGGAAAGATTTTCTATAGAAAATGTGTTCCCCTAAGGGAAAGATTTTCTATAGAAAATGTGTTCCCCTAAGGGAAAGATTTCTATAGAAAATGTGTTCCCCTAAGGGAAAGATTTTCTATAGAAAATGTGTTCCCTTAAGGGAAAGATTTTCTATAGAAAATGTGTTCCCCTAAGGGAAAGATTTTCTATAGAAAATGTGTTCCCCTAAGTGAAAGATTTTCTATAGAAAATGTGTTCCCCTAAGTGAAAGATTTTCTATAGAAAATGTGTTGCCCTAAGGGAAAGATTTTCTCTAGAAAATGTGTTCCTCTAAGGGAAAGATTTTCTCTAGAAAATGTGTTCCCATTAGGGAAACTTTAGTAGAAAGTATACTTTTTTACTAAACTGTTTCATACTATGTAACTGTATAGTAGTTGCTGAATCGAATATAATAGTAGAAGGAATTCGATAGCTACTGCAACTAGTCAATACTCTGGGTATAGTAAGTAAAAAGAGCTCTGCATGTGGTACATGTAACTATATTTAGTTAGTTTAACCATTTTGGAACAAGTTAGTTTCTTTTACATACATATTCATATGTATATTATATGTAAAAATAATATTTGTAAATTCATTTTTCCATATGATTTCATCTGGGGTACTTACATACATATAGAAGACATATACATATGTATGTATATATTTTTTTCGTATTTTACAATTTGATTTGGTAATGCATCCAGCGCTATATAGTATTTTTTTTGTTTTACATTTATAACAATTTTGTATTCAAGCATTTATCGGGAAATTTGTAATAGGGGATGGATTTGCTTTCAAATTTCTGTAAAATTTTTAGATATAAAACTGTAATAAGATTTCGAAGATATTTGACGAATTTATTAAGTTTGATCTTATTTTAAGGAATTGATTATTATGACATTTAGGACATAATAACAAAAATTACACCCTAATATTTATACATACACATGTATATAACAATACTTATACACATGTGTATTGATACATATGTATGTATATCGACATACTAAGTATGGTTTACATCAGCTCTAAACGGGGACAAAAAACACCACATACATTTTTAATGTCGACAGTTGTTTTAAATGTAAAATAACAGAATCAATGGAATTGAACGAACATTATATTCAATATCAAATGTAAAGAGAAATTGAAAGAAAACTAGAAGAATGATAACACTAAGGAAACATTTTCACAGAGTTTTCAAATTTTATATACTTAAGACTATTATAAAATCAAAACAGAAAGGCAAAAGAATAAAGTAAATTTTGGTAAAACAAATTCTCAGCACATATAGGATTTAGAAGGGAATTTCCCATGATTTGAAGTCTTTACTTCATCCTTAATATATGTGTATGTATCAGAAACTATTAAGAAGTTTTTATGAAGGTATCAACAGGGAACTTCTCTCAGACTACTTGTTGAATATTTTCCTTAAGAATGAAAATTTAAATTCAAAATTTCTTCATAATTTTGAAAATTTATAACATTCGTCTTAAGAGTGCAGGGTGTATGATATTAAGAGATTTTCAGATTTTTATGACAAAAAAAGAAAAATCGTATAAAAAAAAAAGAAAAACATATCATTGTATGAAATTTAATACATAAGTAGTTGAAAAGTATTAAAGTTTTGCATTATATATGAAGGTTGAATGAGTCAAATTTTATTGCGCTCAAAACGTTAAAAATACTATTCAAATAAAAACATAAATGATTTTACAAAAAATAATTCAAAATTATATATAAACTAAATTTACATTTCAGATAAATGTTGTCAAGAAATCGATTTTTACTTTTTTGAAAGAAAATGTTTTCACATTAGGGAAAGATTTTCTGTAGAAAATGTGTTCACTTCAGTGAAAAACTTTCCATAGAAAATCTTTTCTTTTTGGTGTTTATATTAGTGAAAGATTTTCTATAGAAAATGTGTTCACTTAAGTGAAAGAACTTCTATAGAAAATGTGTTCACTTATGTGAAAGATGTTCTATAGAAAATGTGTTCATTTATGTGTTTACTTTCGAGAAAACTTTTCAATAGAAAATGTGTTCACTTAAGAAAAAGATTTTCTATCGAAAATCTGTTCTCTATAGAGATAGATTTTCTAAAGAAAATATGTTTACATTAGTGAAAGAATTAAGTGAAAGATTTTCTATAGAAAATGTGTTCACTTAAGTGAAAAATTTTCTATAGAAAATGTGTTCACTTAAGTGAAAGATTTTCTATAGAAAATGTGTTCACTTAAGTGAAAGATTTTCTATAGAAAATGTGTTCACTTAAGTGAAAGATTTTCTATAGAAAATGTGTTCATTTAAGTGAAAGATTTTCTATAGAAAATGTGTTCACTTAAGTGAAAGATTTTCTATAGAAAATGTGTTCACTTAAGTGAAAGATTTTCTATAGAAAATGTGTTCACTTAAGTGAAAGATTTTCTATAGAAAATGTGTTCACTTAAGTGAAAGATTTTCTATAGAAAATGTGTTCACTTAAGTGAAAGATTTTCTATAGAAAATGTGTTCACTTAAGTGAAAGATTTTCTATAGAAAATGTATTCCCATTAGGGAAAGATTTTCTATAGAAAATGTGTTCCCATTAGGGAAAGATTTTCTATAGAAAATGTTTCCCATTAGGGAAAGATTTTCTATAGAAAATGTGTTCCCATTAGGAAAGATTTTCTATAGAAAATGTGTTCCCATTAGGGAAAGATTTTCTATAGAAAATGTGTTCCCATTAGGGAAAGATTTTCTATAGAAAATGTTTCCCATTAGGGAAAGATTTTCTATAGAAATTTGTTCCATTAGGGAAAGATTTTCTATAGAAAATTTTCCCATTAGGGAAGATTTCTATAGAAAATTGTTCCCATTAGGGAAAGATTTTCTATAGAAATTTTCATAGAAAATTTTCATAGAAAATTTTCTTAGAAATGTGTTCCCATTAGGGAAAGATTTTCTATAGAAAATGTTTCTTAGAAAATTTCTATAGAAAGTTTTTATAGAAAACCATTAAAGATTTTCTATAGAAATGTGTTCCCATTAGGGAAAGATTTTCTATAGAATTTGTTCATTAGGGAACATTTTCTATAGAAAATTTGTTCCCATTAGGGAAAGATTTTCTATAGAAAATGTGTTCCCATTAGGGAAAGATTTTCCCATTAGGGAAAGATTTTCTATAGAAAATGTGTTCCCATTAGGGAAAGATTTTCTATAGAAATGTGTTCCCATTAGGGAAAGATTTTCTATAGAAAATGTGTTCCCATTAGGGAAAGATTTTCTATAGAAAATGTGTTCCCATTAGGGAAAGATTTTCTATAGAAAATGTGTTCCCATTAGGGAAAGATTTTCTATAGAAAATGTGTTCCCATTAGGGAAAGATTTTCTATAGAAAATGTGTTCCCATTAGGGAAAGATTTTCTATAGAAAATGTGTTCCCATTAGGGAAAGATTTTCTATAGAAAATGTGTTCCCATTAGGGAAAGATTTTCTATAGAAAATGTGTTCCCATTAGGGAAAGATTTTCTATAGAAAATGTGTTCCCATTAGGGAAAGATTTTCTATAGAAAATGAGTTCCCATTAGGGAGAGATTTTCTATAGAAAATGTGTTCCCATTAGGGAAAGATTTTCTATAGAAAATGTGTTCCCATTAGGGAAATATTTTCTATAGAATAGGTGTTCCCATTAGGGAAAGATTTTCTATAGAAAAGGTGTTCACTTTAAAGAACGATTTTCTATAGAAAATATGTTCACTTAAGTGAAAGTGTGTTCACTTTTGTGAAAAGTTTTTATATAGGAAATATGTTCATCTTTGTGAAAAGTTTTCTATAGAAAATGGGTTTACTTTTGTAAAAGATTTTCTATAGAAAATGTGTTCACTTTATTGAAAAATTTTCTATATAGAAATCTGTGTTATCATTTCCGAATATCTTATCGTGTTCAAATTTATCTAATATTTGTGTTCATTTGTTTTTTCTTCTGCAGGTCAAATAATGGAACGTTGTGGTGTTTGCTCTGAGAAGGCCTATTTGCAGCCTTGTGCTCATTGTGAAAAGAAAATCTGCGAAGATTGTAAAAGTGCTCATATGGACATTTTGCGACGTGAAATTACACGTTTCAATTCACAGGTAATTTTTAATTTTAAAACTTTAATACTACAGCCTACTCACTCTTTTAACGTTCTCTCATATTTAGATTCGTCGCAGTTTACATCGTCTGCAGGACTCCTTGGCCCTTATCGAAAAGAACATGGTTAGCTTACAAACGAATTGTATTAGTACTACAGAGGAAATCGATGAAATCTATCGTCGCATCACTAAAGCCATTAAGGATCGTGCCGATCAGTTGAAGGGAGAAATCGATCGCTACCTCACCACCGAATCGCGCAATTTGAATACACTCAAAGAGAATCTCGATACTGAGATCAGTAATATCAGTAGTAATTGTGATATTGTTGACAAGTACATGAATGAGACAGTTGAATGGGACGATTGTGAACTGATGGATACGAAAGAGATCTTCTTGAAGACGGTGGAATTTTTGAGACATTTCGAATATGAAAATTCCGATTATAGTCGTCGTGTACGCTTTTTAGTTTCAATTGATCCCAATCAATTGGTCATGAATTTGGCCACATTTGGTGACCTGAATATAACACCACATTCGAGTACGGGATCGGCCAGTAGCTCTCACTTGGCACCGCCCTCATCATTACAACCCGGTTTGATGCGTTCGAAGAGTGATCATCGTTTGGCGTCACAGTTTCGCCAGCAGGAGGAACGTATTGGTTATAATGATGAGCCAGTGTTGGGTGGTCGCCGCTTTGGTGAGCGTCCAGTGCGCATTAATAACGATCGCTATGGCGATAGCAGTTCCAGCCGTTATGGCCGTGGTGGTGGCGGAGGTGGCGATTATGATTATGATAACGATTACGATAATGATCAATCGACACGTTCGGGTAAATCACGTTTCCGTTCAAGATTCGTGCGTTCCCACCAGAACGATGACTCCGATAACGAACAGCAACAGCTGCAGCGTCAACAGGAGGAGAAGAAACAAAAGGATAAAGTGCGTGATAGCGAGGATGCTTCCAGGGGTCAGCTTAGTGGCATTATACGTTTGAGTGATTGTGCCCGCGTTGTACAACGTCTAGCCGATATAGGCAAGGAGAAGAAGGAAAAGAAGGTCGATACAGCGGCTCAGGCTGCCGTACAAGCAGCTATTCAAGCTCAAAAAGCTTCAATGCAAAGACCTAAACAACAGCCGCCTGCCGCTCAGAGACAAGTTTCCGAAGATGATGAAATCAGTCGCATTAAGCGTCAAAACAAGAATGCACCCAGTTCTTCAACAGCAGCAGCAGCGGCCGCCGCTGAGTCAACGGATAGACCAGCAGCCGATCGTGTGAGTGCTTTAAAACGTAATAGTGTTGCCCCTGGGGCTAACAGTGAAGAGAGTGAAAGTAGTTCTCACAATGCATCACCCGTGCGTAGGACTCCACCCAGGATAGAGGTGAGTGTGGTTGAAACAAATGAAGAAGATAACAATCCTAGCAGTAGTAGTAGTAGTGGTAAACACAATAATAACATTAGTCAAGTAGCGTTAGGGGGAGTTGAAGAGGTAGATGATGAGGATGATGAAGAAGAAGAAGAGGAGGAAGAAGAGGATGAAGATGAGGAAGAAACTGAATCCGAAGAGGAGGAAGAAGAAGAGGAAGAACAAATTGCTAGTAATAGTACAGAGCAGCAGCAACCACAGAATGAACAACTTAGCGTAGAACAGCCAACAAATGTTGAAACAGTTAGCGAGGAAGAGGAAACAGAAACTGAAACAGAAACAGAAACTGAGGAAGAAACCGAAACAGAGGAAGAAGAAACTGAAGAGGAGGAAGAAGTAGAGGAAGAAAAGGTAGACGAAAATGTTGAAACATTAGATAACACTAACACAGAAGTTATAGAAACCGATATCAGAGATGTTCCCGCTATTAAGGAGGACAGCGATAATAACAATAATGAAACGCAGCTAAACAATAATAATGAAAATTCTTTAAGATCAGATAATATAGAAGCACAAGCCTCCGAAAATCAAAAGGAAGAAAGTGAAGAAGAGGTAGAGGAAGAGGAAATAGAGGAAGTAATAGAGGAAGTAGTAGAGGTAACCGAAACTGAGGAAGAAGAAACTGAAGAAGAGGTAACAGATGAAGATTGAAAAGAAAATACATACAATTAGTTCCTTAAGTAATTAGATTGATTCAGGAGAGTTTCTTTCCAAATAATTTTTGATTTCTTTAGGACAAGATGAAGTTAGGGTATTAGAAGTATAATTTTCATAGAACTGATAATGACTATTAACAACTAGTAAGCAGTTATAAAACTAGTTTTTTGCAGTCACTACTATTCCTCTATAGGAATAAACAAACTTTTTGTCCATAGTAAAAAAATAGTATTTCTTATGTGATAGTGTTAAAAATATTTATTAAATGTTAGTTATCCTTCAAACTCCAGTAATATTGCCTTTAACAATAGTTTCCCATAAATCTTCGCACTATTCAAATCTACTCCCAACTCAACTTCCCCCTAACTCGTTTTTAAAATAAGTACTTATTTTCTTATTTAAATCTTTTATTATTATTTTTTTTGGAAAAACTTACCAACTCATTTATAATAAAAATTCTTGACTATGACAACCATTTACAATTTTCATTTCTTTTCATGTTCTCAAACATAGTCAAAAATGTTTCTTATAAATGAGAAGTAAGAAAAAACAAAATGTGTTTTTTTTTTTTTTTGGAAATTAATTTCCTTTGGGAAACATACTATAAATACTACTTAAACATACGTATACAAATTTGTATTTTTGCTAACCTTTTTTTATATTCTCAAAACTTATTTATATTTAATTTAATAGTTTATTTTGTATTGTCCTCTTCTTTGTTTCGATTCACATCTATCCCCCTGTTTGGAGTTTAATACATATTACTATTTTTCGATTTTTTTTATTTACATTTACTACTATTTTCTTTATGTTAACAACTAAATTTTGTTTTAATTTTTTATAAGAACCTAAACTAAAAAACAAAACTGAGAAAGAAAATCACAAATAACTTTTAACTTGTATACCTGAGATTTAATACAACATTTCTTATTTTTGTATTATTTATTAAGCTTAAGATTGATTTTCATTTAATACTCTGTACTACTACTACACAATTTCACTATAATTGGTTGTCTATTTTCTTCTTGAGATGCAAAAGGGGAAGCATGCCTCATCATGCCCCATCAGTATTGAAATACTTGAATTCTTTTAAAGGTGCTAGAGATTTCGGATCCAATTCTATAGGCCAAAGAATAGGCTATAGACTAGACTTTAGACAAGACTATAGACTATTCTTTAGACTATACTTTAGACTAGACTAGACTATAGACAAGTCTATATACTAGGCTATATACTAGACTGTAGACTAGATTATATACTAGACTAAAGACTAGAGTATAGTCTAGTCTATAGACTAGACTATAGACTAGACTATAGACTAGACTATAGACTAGAGTATAGACTAGAGTATAGACTAGACTATAGACTAGACTATAGACTAGACTATAGACTAGACTATAGACTAGACTATAGACTAGACAATAGACTAGACTATAGACTAGATTATAGACTAGACTATAGACTAGACTATAGACTAGACTATAGACTAGACTATAGACTAGACTATAGACTAGACTATAGACTAGACTATAGACTAGACTATAGACTAGACTATAGACTAGACTATAGACTAGGCTATAGACTAGACTATAGACTAGACTATAGACTAGACTATAGACTAGACTATAGACTAGACTATAGACTAGACTATAGACTAGACTATAGACTAGACTATAGACTAGACTATAGACTAGACTATAGACTAGACTATAGGCTAGACTATAGACTAGACTATAGACTAGACTATAGACTAGACTATAGACTAGACTATAGACTAGACTATAGACTAGACTATAGACTAGACTATAGGCTAGACTATAGGCTAGACTATAGACTAGACTATAGACTAGACTATAGACTAGACTATAGACTAGACTATAGACTAGACTAGACATAGACTAGACTATAGACTAGACTATAGACTAGACTATAGACTAGACTATAGACTAGAACGATAAGACTAGACTATAGACTAGACTATAGACTAGACTATAGACTAGACTATAGACTAGACTATAGACTAGAATATAGACTAGACTATAGACTAGAATATAGACTAGACTATAGACTAGACTATAGACTAGACTATAGACTAGACTATAGACTAGACTATAGACTAGACTATAGACTAGACTATAGACTAGACTATAGACTAGACTATAGACTAGACTATAGACTAGACGATAGACTAGACTATAGACTAGACTAGACTAGACTATAGACTAGACTATAGACTAGACTATAGACTAGACTATACGAGACTAGACTATAGACAGCTTATAGACTAGACTATAGACTAGACTATAGACTAGACTATAGACTAGACTATAGACTAGACTATAGACTAGACTATAGACTAGACTATAGACTAGACTATAGACTAGACTATAGACTAGACTATAGACCTAGCTATAGACTAGACTATAGACTAGACGATAGACTAGACTATAGACTAGACTATAGACTAGACTATAGACTAGACTATAGACTAGACTATAGACTAGACTATAGACTAGACTATAGACTAGACTATAGACTAGACTATAGACTAGACTATAGACTAGACTATAGACTAGACTATAGACTAGACTATAGACTAGACTATAGACTAGACTATAGACTAGACTATAGACTAGACTATAGACTAGACTATAGACTAGACTATAGACTAGACTATAGACTAGACTATAGACTAGACTATAGACTAGACTATAGACTAGACTATAGACTAGACTATAGACTAGACTATAGACTAGACTATAGACTAGACTATAGACTAGACTATAGGACTAGAACTATAGACTAGACTATAGACTAGACTATAGACTAGACTATAGACACTAAGACTACTAATAGACTACTATAGACTATAGACTAGACAATAGACTAGACTATAGACTAGACTATAGACTAGACTATAGACTAGACTATAGACTAGCTATAGACTAGACTATAGACTGAGACTATAGACTAGACTATAGACTAGACTATAGACTAGACTATAGACTAGACTACTAGACTAGACTATAGACTAGACTATAGACTAGACTATAGACTAGACTATAGACTAGACTATAGACTAGACTATAGACTAGACTATAGACTAGACTATAGACTAGACTATAGACTAGACTATAGACTAGACTATAGACTAGACTATAGACTAGACTATAGACTGAGACTAATAGACTAGACTATAGACTAGACTATAGACTAGACTATAGACTAGACTATAGACTAGACTATAGACTAGACTATAGACTAGACTAGATAGAATAGACTAATAGACTAGACTATAGACTAGACTATAGACTAGACTATAGACTAGACTATAGACTAGACTATAGACTAGACTATAGACTAGACTATAGACTGACTATAGACTAACTAAGACTAGGACTATAGACTAGACTATAGACTAGACTATAGACTAGACTATAGACTAACTATAGACTAGCTATAGACTAGACTATAGAACTAGACTATAGACTAGACATAGACTAGACTATAGACTAGACTATAGACTAGACATAGACTAGACTATAGACTAGACTATAGACTAGACTAGAATAGACTAGACTATAGACTAGACTATAGACTAGACTATAGACTAGACTATAGACTAGACTATAGACTAGACTATAGACTAGACTATAGACTAGACTATAGACTAGACTATAGACTAGACAATAGACTAGACTATAGACTAGACAATAGACTAGACAATAGACTAGACTATAGACTAGACTATAGACTAGACTATAGACTAGACTATAGACTAGACTATAGACTAGACTATATACTGGACTATAGACTAGACTATAGACTAGACTATAGACTAGACTATAGACTAGACTATAGACTAGACTATAGACTAGACTATAGACTAGACTATAGACTAGACTATAGACTAGACTACAGACTAGACTATAGACTAGACTATAGACTAGACTATAGACTAGACTATAGACTAGACTATAGACAAGACTACAGACTAGACTATAGACTAGACTATAGACTAGACTATAGACTAGACTATAGACTAGACTATAGACTAGACTATAGACTAGACTATAGACTAGACTATAGACTAGACTATAGACTAGACTATAGACTAGACTATAGACTAGACTATAGACTAGACTATAGACTAGACTATAGACTAGACTATAGACTAGACTATAGACTAGACTATAGACTAGACTATAGACTAGACTATAGACTAGACTATAGACTAGACTATAGACTAGACTATAGACTAGACTATAGACTAGACTATAGACTAGACTATAGACTAGACTATAGACTAGACTATAGACTAGACATAGACTAGACTATAGACTAGACTATAGACTAGACTATAGACTAGACTATAGACTAGACTATAGACTAGACTATAGACTAGACTATAGACTAGACTATAGACTAGACTATAGACTAGACTATAGACTAGACTATAGACTAGACTATAGACTAGACTATAGACTAGACTATAGACTAGACTATAGACTAGACTACAGACTACACTATATACTAGACTACAAACTAGACTATAGACTTGACTATAGACTAGGCTATAGACTAGACTATAGACTAGGCTATAGACTAGACTACACTAAACTACAGAGTAGACTATAGACTACACTATAGACTAGACTACAGACTGGACTATAGGCTAGACTATAGATTTGACTATAGGCTAGACTATAAACTAGACTACAGACAAAACTGTAGGCTAGGCTATAGCCTAGACTACAGATTAGACTACAGACTAGACTACCTGCTAGACTATAGACTAGACTATAGGCTAGACTATAGACTGGACTACAAACTAGACTACAAAGTAGACTATAGACTGGACAATATACTAGACTATTGAGTAAACTATAGACTGGACTATAGACTAGACTATAGACTAAACTACAGACTATACTGTTGGCTAGGCTATAGAGTAGACTACTGATTAGACAATACACTATACTGTAGATT